TCCCTGTTAGATCAGGCTTAACAAATTTAACATGCACACAGTGAATTTTAAGCAGTGGAAAAAGAGATTCAAACCAAAATCCTGCATGCAGAGGGCTTTTTCCATTCAAAGTCCACTGGCAGTGCTTTTTCCATGGACAAGTAGAGGGCTTTCCCTAAATGCAAACTGGGCTTCATGGTATTCGTGAAACAAAATACATCTGTGGGGAAATGGAAATTTAGTAAAAATGTTAGTAACTAACATTAATCCCATTAAGTTTTGCACCTGGGTAGAGATAAGGCTTGTTAGTGACAAAACCCTGAATCATATTATCTATCACTGGAGCATCTTCGAGAAGCAACTTGCTGAATAATACCTCAATCATTTGCCTCAAAAGCACAGTTCTGTAAAAAGTCCTGTACATAATTAAACATAAAAATTGTGTTGATGCAATGTGAGGGTAGCACATTTACCGTCAGAAAGTTCAGAAGTGAAGGCTCCAATACCCCATTAACTTGTCATCTCTTTTATGTTTTAGATTTTTATTATACATTGATATTTTATTTTGTATACGGTACATTTAATCAGGACATTTAATCAGCAAAACAAGTGCAAAACATCGCATATATTCATCACAACCAAGCACTATTGCTTTTGGAGCCAGAACCTCTGTATTCTCTGAATCTTTGTGCTTTTAACTTTGCAGCACTAATAGTAAATTGATGCAATACTTTGTATTTAATTTCCTGGCTTTTAGAAAAAAAGAATATTTTTGTTTAAAGCTGGCAAAAGTGTCTATGTCAACTCAAATGCTAAGAAGGATAATTTTAAACTGCTTTAAATATTTACAGCGCAATAAATACTTAAACTGGTTGAAAGCCTTAAAATGGTGTAAGGTTTTTTAGGCACAGTAAATACTTAAGATAGCAAAAAGTGCCTAAAACTACTTAAATCCTACAGATCACTGAACCTGTTCAACCATTTGATTTGTGGCTGCATAACTGTTAAATAGCTATAACATACTTTTACAAGATAAACTTAAAAACCAACAAATAGTCTGGTAGCACTTTAAAGACTAGCAGAACATGTAGATGATATCATGAGTTTTCATGGGCACAGCCCACTTCTTCAGATAACCTGTCATAAAAGAATTTAACCTTATTTAGGAATGAATCCTGCCAGGCGGTGGGCATCCTCCTCCTCACATACAGAGGTCACTTTAGGTCACATATGTTGGATTAGGATTTTAGTCTGTAAAATTGTCAGGGCAGGGACATTGGGTGAAATCCTAACTCTATTGAAGACAATAGCAAAACTCCCCTTTATTTCAGTACAGTTGGGATTTCATCTCTTGTCCCTTATTTTAAAGTGTCATGAAGACTTTGAGCACTGTATGAATAGTTAATAACTGCTTTAAGCCTCCAGATTGACAAGTATCTATTGACATATAGTCAAAGCTCAGGGTAATTAGGTGCACGTTTAGAAATAAAAATGTGTTGTGCTAAATTGTATAAACAATAATGTATTTTGCAAGCTAGATATATCTGGCTTTCTATGTCTTCCTTTTTAAAACAGTGCCTATTGCTGTTTTTCTTTTTTAAAATGCTACATTTTGTTCAAAATTAAAAAACAAAAACAAAAAGATCACCCTCTGACCAGAAAACAACCATAGACATATCCAGGTTAGTGGGCATTTTTCAGTAAATTATGAGCATGTGAGAACAGAGGATTATATTGTTAGACAACTTTCACCCTATTGGGTGTGACTGAGCTCCCACTATTTTAATTGTGTTTGAGTGGCATCTTTCTCCTATAAACCCAGCTGCCTCCTCCGTTCTGATGAATTCAGAGATGGCACAGCTCTGTTTTAGTGAAATGACAATGGCAGCAATTCAGATGTGACAGGCATTCAGAGTTCATGACTTGCATGCAATATGTAGCTAAATGTTAGTTATTCACATACAACGCACAAGCACTGGTGCTTATTACTTGCACAACTTCTGCCTTTTTTACTACTTCTAGATGAACAACGTGGATTTATCAGGAAGAAGGAGTCTGAATAAATGCTAAACTAACTTGGGAGTTAAAGGTATTTGGAATTTGATTAACTTGGAATAGTTTGTTGTGTTTCTTGCGGTCTTCTGAATTCTGTTTGCAAGTCTATTGATCCTTTCTTAGATATGAGAGCTCTGTACTCTCTGAGAATGTCAGACAGGTCAAAAGTTCATGTTGTTCAGTTTTGCCATGCTCAAGTCTGTAGAGTGCCCTTCTTGCTGATTATTCCTAAATGTGACTGGTATTTTATAGCTAGAACGTGCTGCAGGTTTACTTAAGAAGATTTGTAGTAGTAATATAAATTAAAGGTAGCTAATTTAGGGGAGTTCTGTAGTTTACTGGCCAGTCCCTATATGCAGCAAACAAATGAGTCTAAATTATTAATATTACTTTGTGTGACTTATATTTCTGGTGTCCTACTCCCAGAGATGAGAACACCAACTTTTAAAAATGCATCCAATTTGCAACCTTATCTCCATTAAGGTTATAACCTTGCTTTGCAATGTCAGGAAAACATGTCACCTGTTGGAAAATGTGATCAGAACAGTCCCTCCAGCTGAGATGCAGAAGCTTAGACACATGTGACTGCTGTCTAAAGAAATGGAGGGAGTTAAATGAAATGCACTCCTCTAACATTGATACTCTTACCCTTACATATCCCAGCTAGTTCCTTGACATCTGTTTGTTGTATCTCTGGTCTTAATGGTCAGCATTTGTAAGTTTTGTAATGCTTGCTCCTCATACACCATGCTTTCCAAAGGTTAACACAAGACAGCTGGTTCTCTTTGAATACTGGCTCATCTTGAAACCCATTTATTCTGCACACAGGTCACTGAAGGCCATCTGACCATTTCAATATTCCCTGCTAAAGAAATAGTTTCAGTAGGGTCAGATTCAAGAGTGCTACACCGAGTAGAAGATTGTAATGTAGATGCTTTAAATGGTCACATGTATTTTTTGATCTTAGAAGATGACATCTCAAGTCAATTAGGGTAAAAAAAATGTTATTTATAAAAATAAGACTTTATAATGCCAAATATCAATGTTTAAGCTTTAAAAAACTCAGTTGAAATGGTTTCCTGTTTGGCATTAAACCTTTGCCTGCAGTGTTTGCAACCTCAGTTGTATCACCTGAGGCTGCTTTATGACAATCAGAGAATGTAGTATTTACTAATTCACTCACAAGAAAGCAGAGAAGGCCTACCACAGTGTATTAAATAACTACCGCAGTAGCCTTCAGGTCAGCTTCTGTCTGCTACTCAGGCGACTAGAAATATCTTGTTTACCCTAGTCTGCTCAGAGATATAACCAATGCCTTTGCAGTCATCCCAGTACTACCATCACAGCAATTCCTTAATATTAACTTCCATCCTCATCACAAATAAAACTGATTTTAAGGAAAAGTGAAACTAACCAATCCTTCCTCTGGCTCACCCTGCCTGGAACACTATAAGCAAACACATGGCATAAATTATGGAAAATACATTTGCTCAGCTATTAACATGTGTACTGTGTAAACAACATTGGGGTAATTAGCAGCACAGGCAAATTTAAATAACAATTTTTAAATTAAAGATTGACATTTTAAAATGAAAACTTCTGCCCAAGGAATTTATCCCATCTCACCTCTCCCTTTCTGTCTTCATCCTTGCAAAGCTGGGGAAGAGCCCCTCTATTGAGGGGAACTTTCCTGGCTTCTATACTTCTCGGCTACGTCTAAACTGGCATGATTTTCCAGAAATGCTTTTAACGGAAAAGTTTTCCGTTAAAAGCGTTTTCGGAGAAGAGAGTCTAGATTGGCATGGACGCTTTTCCGCAAAAGCACTTTTTGCAGAAAAGCGTCCGTGGCCAATCTAGACGCGCTTTTCTGCAAAAAAGCCCCGTTCGCCATTTTCACAATCGGGGCTTTTTTGCGGAAAACAAATCTGAGCTGTCTACACTGGCCCTTTTGCGCAAAAGGGACTTTTGCCCGAATGGGAGCAGCATAGTATTTCCGCAAAAAGCACTGATTTCTTACAGTAGGAAGTCAGTGCTTTTGCGGAAATTCAAGCGGCCAGTGTAGCCAGCTGGCAAGTTTTTCCAGAAAAGCGGCTAATTTTCTGGAAAAACTGGCCAGTCTAGACACAGCTCTTTGGTAAAATGGGCTAATGAAATGATCTGATTCCCTGATCTCACTTCCTTTACCCAGAGGCCTGATGAACTTCTAGTACTCCCCTTCCACCCTTCTGCGTGGCAGAGTCCTTGCAATCCCAACAAGGTCAGGATTCCTGGAGACTCAATCCTAACCTTGTCGTGATCACCTAGAGCTGGAGTTAGGGTTTGCCCATGTCCCAGTGCTCCCTTCACAGTGAACCTTTCACTGACCCACTGATTGCATAGTGTTCAAAGAAGACACTAGCATTCTCCTACTGCTCAGACCCTCTGGAGCACTCTTCTCATCCCAGTATAGCCCCTCTCTCTTCCTTCTAACCCCATTTCCAACTAAATCACAGCCTTCTACAGTGCCCCTAACCATAACTGCTCACCCCCTACTACACATGTAGATTTGCTAGTTTCGAAGGTGCCACGGGACTAGGTTCTTGTCCCCTGAGTGTCTTACACAGCGTCCACTGCAAGGCAGGGCCGTTACAAGTACCAGGGACTGGTTAGTGAGGCCGTCACATGCCTCGCTAACCTGCCCCTGCACCCTAGGGCAGCTTTTCAGAGGGGGTGTCTGCTGGTGGCAGTGCAAAGCCGTGCAGAGTGAAGGTGCACGGCGCCCGTGTGAGCCCCACATGGCACTGAGGAGGGTGCGCACGACGGGTCTCCGTGCAAACGCACGGGGTTTGCACGAGGCCATATGGGGAAACAGAAGGGGCGGGGCGGGGCGGGGCGAACTGCGGAGAAGGCTCGGTCTCCTTTTCTGGCTCGCGAGCAGGGGCGGCGTGTCCCTCCCAGGGGCCCGTAGCCCCTCCCGGAAGCGTTGCCATGGTGTTGCGCGGCGGAACCCGGAAGTGGCGAAGCCGTTACAGCCTCCTCGCGGAGCTATCCGTCCAGAGGGAAGCCCCTCTCGGTAATGGGGCTCGGGTGGGTGGAGAGTGGGGGGATTTGCCCTGGGGCCGCCACCGCCGGAAGGACTCGTTGGGGTTGCCGGGGCCGGTCGTGGGGGCGGTGCGGGGAGCAAGGTGCCCCCTGAGGTTTTGTATCCATGTGCGGAATAAGTTTTGTTCTGTGCACAGGGGGGATGCGCGGATGTGCACCACCAGCAGAAACAGGCTGCCGTGTGTGGGCGCTCTGCTGATCAGCTGGGTGGCACCTGAATCTCTCCTGGGGGCTTCTCAGGTTACAGGGAGCTGCTGTGGCGCGTGTGCCCAAGGCAGGGTCCCGGTGGCTCCCCCGCTCTGTCGCACAGATGGCACTGCCCACGCTGCCCTCCGCCTGGCCCAGTCACAGCAGTGCCCTGGAGAAGCGGATCGTGCGCCAGCGAGAGCAGGAGGCCCGCTGGCGGCAGCAATGGGAGCTGCACAGCCGCTATTTCCAGCAGTCTGGAGTCTGCAGCTCCAAGCAGAACCAGTGGGGCTCGCGGCAGTCCTACCAGCAAAGGTAACAGTGGGGAGGGAGAAGGGTCCTTAGAGTGTATGGGCCCTGCACAGTATTGTCAAACTGTGGCCGCTGCCCCCAATGTCATGGGGGTGGTGGTTTTAAACTCTTCAGCAGCACACTAGTGCAATAGTGGTTTACACTCAAACACTCCTATTTAAAACTAACTCTTTAACTAATAAGCAGATGCTTATTGGTTACCAGTGTCAGTTACACACAGCGAAGCCTTCTCCCCCGGAGTTAGGCTAGCAGGGGCTGGCGGCTCTGCTCCCAAGGATGCTTTGCTGTGGGCTCTGCAGTATAAAGCTATAAAACACTACAGAAGGAAGGATTAAGCATCAAGCTCTGAATAAACTAAGCTAAGCTTTATACTTCAGAGCCCGCTGCATGGGTAATCATGAACCTGCTTAGTTTTTCAGCAGTTAAACGATTACCCCATTAAGCAGATTTTTTTTTTTAATATGTCTAGTTTTTAAGCAGATTTTTAAACTAGGGTCCTGTTGACTCGCACAGTAAATCTAGAACTTGACAGTATGTACCCAGAGTTGACAAATGCCTGTTAAATGGCTTTGTTACCACTTGAATGGCTCTTTCACAGGTTTGAGGTTCTGCTGATAGCTCTGGTAGGCTTTTGTAAGTTAACTAAAACCTCTCTGGAAGAAGTGAAGCCATGGAACAGGGATAGGAAGAGGCAGGTGGGTAGACATTAGGACCCAGAGGTGCCCCAATTTTTCAGGTGCCCTATACCAGTGTTTCTCAACCAGTAGTATGAGTACCATGGTATTTGAGAGCAATCTGGGGGGTACGTCAACACAACTGAAATGTGGAGAAAACTGAATTTTTGTTTTAAGATTTACAGCACTTTATTATTTTTGAACTTTTTACACTAAAAAATGTCATCTCCTGCCCGGCTACAATTAAGTTGTTTAAAGAAATGTGTTGCAATGGTAGAAAAAAATTTTGTTTGTCTGAAAACTGTAGGTACTGGGGGATACTTTTTTTTTAAGGGGGTACTTTATACAAAAAAGGTTGAGAAACACTGCCCTACACAGTTGCATATTCTGCATACGGGTAAGGCTGACCCTGTGGGGAGGAGGGTGGACAGCAGAGGATCACCATCACAAATGTTTTGGCTCTTTGGTTTGTGTTCTGGGCCCTCTGATACCAGACCATGGGGTATCACCATCATCTACTTTTTGTAATAAGGGCACAGTGTCTTGTAAGTGAGCATGCAAATGTATGGGAGCCAATGGGCACTGGCAGGTACAGTCTTAGTCTGGTAAACTGGGAATATTTGGAACAGCCAGTTGCCTGTATCATTAGACTGACACATGCCTCCACTGCCCTCTGTCTGGTTTTTGCTAACTAGCTTACCTTGGGCTTGATGCTTCCTTCTGTTGTGTTTCTCTGTTAGCATGAACGCATATCACCGTCAGAAAATGAAGGAAGAAAAAAAAATCAACCTGGATCAGAGGCGAGAACAACTTAGGAAACTTTTGTACGAAGAACGAGAATTGCTCGCTGAAGAACTCAGGGAGCTGAGACTGACCAAAGAGTCCAATATGAATAAGATCAGAGAGAGAAGTGATGATTTGAAATCTGCTAAAGAAGAGCGCCGGAAAAAGGTAACTTGTGAGAAGTGGTCTGAGGTGTGTATTTGTGGGATGGATGACTCATAGGTTGAACTGGGGTATTTTTTGAGGATCTATATTTGGTTCTTCCAAAGCTGTATTCACTTGTTGTTTGGGGAAGATTGTATTGTGCTATATTTCCTAATTCTGATCATAATTAAGATTGGGAGATTCCAATATTTGTTAAAATATGATCTACTCTAATGTGGACTGTCTCTCATATTTTATTGATAGGTTGCTGAAGAGCTGCTTTATGAACACTGGAAGAAGAACAATATCAAACTCAGAGAGGTGATAATTACTGGGATCACTTCACTGCTGTTTTGAGTGTACTACATTAGGTTTTTAAAAATTAAGTTATAGATATCAAGCCAAAAAAATGGTTCAGCTATCTAACCATTATAATTCAGGAGCTCTGACTTATCACTCCTCCAGAGGCCATTTCTTTTCCACATAATCAGAAACTTCTTTATTCCAGTACTCTGCAGACCCTCAAATGCAAACACTGAAGTAGAAAAAGAGGATGCTACCAGTGCAAGAAAGTAGTCAAAGAAGACAAGAGTCTTAAATATTTGGCTCTTGCGCCTTGTACTATAGGCTTAAAAATTTTACCCATTTTACCCAATTTTGGAGCCTAAGTCCCACTGAAAGTCAATGGAATGAACTTCCTAAGGGACTTAAATTCTTTTGAAAATTGTATCCTATACTACTGAATGCATTCTTAGCCATTGTTCTGTTGCCCCTCCATTCTGCCTGCATATTGCTATATTCTTCAACATTTGTGAATTTTCCCAACTAATCTTATTACTGGAATTGGTACATGAGTCCCAGGGCTGGCAGGAGCTGAGGAAAGCTATACAAATTGTATGTTCAGACTTTGGCAGAAGGAGCATCCATTCTTGGAGAATAAAACAACCACTGATGTAAAGGCTTACTTCTGGGATGGTGGGCAAATCTGCTGGAAGGATTTTTTTCTGCTCAGTTTTCCATGCTGCAATCTGATCTTTAGCAGTGGCCTCAATAAGGGTGTATCAGAAGGCTACTCTCTAGCCTGCTTTGGCCAAAGCGTTTCACCAGCATTTCATGTGAGATGAGTAGCCATTTAGTCTCCTCTTCTGAAGGCTAAGAATCTCTCTGACATAGCCAGCTCATGGGATGCTGCACTGTGAGCTACCTCAGAACAGACAGTTGACTAGGAATGGAATGCTTACTAGTTACAGTTGTTTCTCCCTGCCTTCAGGCCTATGACAGGGGTCATCATAGTTTCTTAGAGGCCGTGATGGTACAAAATGGGAGACCAGGCTGCACCATTTGATTTTGTGATGATCTGTATGTTCACTTCTTCAGATTGAATCAGAGCTTCACAAGAAGCATGTGGTAGATGCTTGGGGTGATCAGCTAACAGAAAAGAAGCAGGTATGTTGGGATTGCTTTAGTGAATATGTTATCACCTAGGTGTGGGAAGAGCTCTGAAATGTAAGAGCAGATATTATTTTGGCTTTTTTGGGGGTTGGGGAGGGATATTTATTTTATCTGACCTTTAGCTGCAAGCTTGCTTTCCATGGAGACTTAATCTTTTCTATCAGTTGTGAGTATTTGGCACTCTCTTCCACCTCTGATATTAATATCTACACAAGGTGGAAGGTTTTTATGTACTGGTACTTCACTGTTTCTCATGAAGATGGGGTCTTGCAATTTAATTATGCCTTGTTTTGTCAGGCAAGTATATAAATCTTCTCTCTGGTTTGTTTGCCTAATAATGATAAAATCAGCAGTATTTTATCAGTTGTGAGTATTTGGCACTCTCTTCCACCTCTGATATTAATATCTACACAAGGTGGAAGGTTTTTATGTACTGGTACTTCACTGTTTCTCATGAAGATGGGGTCTTGCAATTTAATTATGCCTTGTTTTGTCAGGCAAGTATATAAATCTTCTCTCTGGTTTGTTTGCCTAATAATGATAAAATCAGCAGTATTTCTTAGTAGATTAAATACATGCATGATTAGTTGTGACACCAAGGGCATTGTTCCATAAATGCAGTTTTCTTGTGAGCACATCTTCAAGAATTTTGTAATACTTAGCAGCTACAGATATCAAAATAAGCAGAGTCTTATTTAAACCTTCAATTACTATGAAGGCAGCCCACAGCAGATGGCTATGTTGGAAGTGAAAATACGGATAGTCAGGCTGCCTGGAGTGGCTCATGCATGTGAGTGACAACTTCAGGGCAGACTGTTGTAGACAGTTTGGAATTTGTGCCGTAGTTTATATGTTCCACAGTTAGATGTCATCAAGTATGAGCTCCTCAGGCACTACACAGCTTTTAACATGGAGTCACAGGCAGTCCCCTGCTCTCTCTGCCGTGCAGGCAAGCTTTCGTGCTGGATGGTACATTACCTCAAAACAGTGATATCCAGGAAACTCCCAGTTGTTTACCCATGGTCCTTTGTACCTTAGAGATCTCACCAAAGACAATGCTTGTTGCTAATCCTCTAATAAACTAGGTAAAGGTTTACTAAGATAAGGAATTAAGAGTTACTTACTTGCTTAAAGCAGGTGAACATACACAAATGAGTTATAATGTTAGGTTCCAAAAAGCAATAGATGCTGCCTGTTTGCAAGCTCTAGATCAGTGATCCCCAACTTTTTGGTGCTAATGGGTGCCCGGGGGCGGGGCAAACCA